TCATAATATATCTAATGTAAAATGCAATAAATTTTTGTCTTAACGTTCACTTATCAAACATCCCTTACTTCTGATATAATTATCACACCATGTCATACAACTTATAATCGCTCGATTCCAACTTCATCAAAACCAATTCATTTATTCTCTTACTTTCACGTTGGACTGAGATTTTTTTTTGTACGCTCAAAAATTTTTTATTAAAATTTGTTTCACAATTATTATATCAATAGAGATATATATCATATACAAAAAAATAAAGCACTGTATTTTTTCAAAATACCTGGATGGCATGAATGTTATTATTTTCATGTTCGTGAGCCTTCCTAATATAAATCTCAAATCTCATCATCAATTTAGTTAATGTCCTTTTTTTTTTCCTCTAAATTTTTAGTCGTCTCATCTTAATAAAATTTTTAAATTGATTATGAAAAAAAAATTTAGCGTCTAAATATCACGATGTAGCGTTGTGTCGTAAAGAAACACAATCAAGTTTTACTACATAATTAATTATAAAAATTATATCTCGTATTAGAAAGAAAAAATTAAAAAAAATAAACAATTGCAGTTTTGAAAGACTTGGCTCTCATACGAACGTCCTAGACTTAATAAAAGAAAACAGGATAGAAAAAATATCATAGATCTCCGCATTCCGCCGCTATCATATTCAAAATCCAAAAAGATAGATAAAGATAAAATAGATTTTTTTTATCGCGTTCCGCCTCATGTTATTATTTAAATATTTTCCATTTCTTTCTCATTTCAGTTCGGTTAGAATCTTTCAAATAATCGTTAACCGACACCTTAAAAACAATAAAATATTCAAAAATGATAGAATTGGGGTTTGTTATCAACGTTCAATAATTATAATATGAGACGACCCGTCGTAATAAAAAAAGAAATAATAAGAAATAATTTTAATGCCTAATATTAAATATACATAATTGAAAAAGAGCCCGATAATATACGCGCAAAAAATAAAAGCCATTGTGAATATTTTATATCACCACCAAAAGGCATAATATTAAGCTACGACGAATCAAATTTTAATATAATAATTAATTAATTAGTTAATACGGCTATACTATATTCATAATATACACCGTATACAATAATCGAATAATTTTCATTAACATTTTTTTTTTTTGAACACTTTGATCTTAAAAATCGCGTCTTTTCTCACTTTTATAATTGATCATTTGAATCAATGTTACTTTGATACTGGCGATACCGTGATTTTAACTTGTACTGACTAATTTCCAATTATTATTTTAATCACTAAATATTTAAAAAGGCACATTTAGATAATAATTTTATGTCGACCGTATCCACAAAAGAGGAGAACAAAAATGATCGTTTTTCTTTATTCAATCGTTATCCTCACATCAGGATCAAGCGAGAATGTACGCATTTTGACGTCAGATTCGTCATAAATATAAAAACAAAATATTTTATTGAAATTAATTAATCAATCTAATTATAAAAATTACTAGCAATCAATAGACAATCAAATAATTAAAAAAAAATTGAATGATACCACGGACTATCACTAATTATAATATAATATATAAGCCGATCTAATAATCCAATATATCCCAATTAGAAATTAAAAAAGTTATTAATAATGATATCAGTTTTAACCCAATTATATAAATATTCACAGTTAGGCAAAAATCCAACGTTTCCATTGAACTAAACATCCCGTTGTCTTTTTAATCGATTTTTAAAATCTTAATCATTAGCAGTGATGTAAACTAATGTGAAAGACAGTTTGTTCTATTCGTTTGTCCAAAAAAAATCACGTGGATTAAGAATGTACCGAAAACTCCGATAATTGTAATCAGAAAAAATAATCGTTTGAGCTAATAAAAATTAATTTAAAAAAATTTTCTCATTTTTTTCCAATTATCTAATCAAATACTTATACAAAAAATTTTGAATAAATATAATAATTAATAAATAATTATCTAAACAATTTATTACCTATCTAAAAATTTTAATTTTACATACATAAATTAATTCCCATGATAAATTTTTAATAACTTTTTGAATGTACATTTTTCAAAAATGTAAATATCTTGTTATCACCAATAAAAATTTTCATGGAAAATATATCCAATGGGGGATCAATTAATGATTAATTTATTTCCTAATTTGTTAAACCGAAATAAATATAAATATATATTTATATATATATATAAAAAAATAATTTTTTTTTAAATTTATAGTACACTTTGAAGAATTCAACTCACAATTTATCACCAAATTAGTTAATAATTCACTTAGAAAAATTGGTAATTAATTATCTTTATCACTTTTTAGTACGAAATAATATATTTTTTTTTAGCTCAACGATTATTTTTTCCACCAATTATCTGCTAACCTCAGTATACCAACGTATGTGTGAAACGGAGAATTGGCACACCAGTAAATAAAAAGACCTGTGATGTCTACCGAGCAATAAAAGAAGAAATCAGCAAAGAAAAGAGAGTAGAATAGAGTAGAGTAGAGTAGAGTAGAGAGAGAGATAAATATGAAGAGAGAATTGAATATAAAAAATGAACGGAGAATGAATGTACAAGTGAGATGGCTGGTAATGCACTATGTGTAGTTATTGAAAATGTGTTTTAGGTTTTTGAACCTATTGACGGAAGAAAGAAGAGAGCGATACATTTGATTGTACCGCAGACTTGTAAATTGTAAAATCTATTCTCTTTATCATTCTCATCTCTCACACGCACGTCCGTTCGGCACAGACTAAAAATATTAACTAAGGCGCATTTATAAAAGTGAATATTTAAATCTTACATATCTATCTAGACCTTAATACCTAAACCTAATAATCTCCAGATTTTCACGACGATTATAAAGTTATTTATTACTTATAACTTGCATTTCATGGCTTCCTGAATTATTCCATGATATTCGTTAAGACTTTTGTATTTTTATTACTTATAGTTAAATCGTCGTCACTTATCAAGGCCTCGTAAGGCAGTATCTTATATAAACTTATTGTTAATTATTTGTATAATTGAATAGTAACTATGCAGAGTCAATTTCTATCACCTATTATTACCATTTTTTTTTCATTTCACTAAATCTATTATTTTTCGAATCAATCAGTTTTAAAAGTTATTCAGCATTCCTTATATCTAGAATTGTTTATCATTTTTATTACTATTTAATAACTAGTTGTATCTCGTCCCATCTCACTTTACTTTAATATTTCTCCAAAAGAATAACCAGACATTTTTTAAATCATTTTTTGTCATTCATCTTTTGCATAGATATTTTTAATATATACCAGAGAAGAAAAAATTTATGTGTGACATTTTTTTTTTGTTTTTGTTTTATAACTTGTACTTTTTCTTCTCTGTAAATTTCTAAATATAGTATTCACATATGTGTGTTTATTATATAATTAAAAAAGCTTTTGATAAGATCACGAATTGTTTTCAATTTGACAAAATACTTTTATGCCAAATAATTGATTAGACAAGGCCACAAATTGTGCTACGTTTTCTCGTTAAGTTAATTTTTTTTTTTTGTTGTACATTCGAGAGCACTTAACTTTTAATTTAAATCGCTCTTCATGTACTGTAACAAACACTTTGTAAATTCGAGATAATGGAAAGAGAAAAGAAAAAAAAATAATAAAATAATCGTCGCGTTTAAACGCTCTCACTTATGTTTATGAGTATATGTGTTATGCTATTTATCGATTTCTTTCGATTTATAAATATTGTCTACGGTATGGAAAAGGATGACCGTGTCACGCGGTTATTATAACTGCATAGAAATAGAAAAATTCTGTTAATTATTTATTAATATTTTATATTATTTAATAATAATTATTTATGTTTTTTAAACTCACAGAGGGCCCTTGGCAAGATAAATCAAGAGTTAGACGTTGCACTTGTCGCTTATGATCTACATATTTCTACTATACACGATAAAATTCACGTTTATTTGATATAATACTTTGTCACGTCTCAGTTGTGAGGCTTAAGGTTTGATTATAACATTAATTAGTGAGGAATATAAACGTACGTTTCTTAAATTGCAACAATCTACGTACTTAAAAGAATACTCTTGTGTTAAATAAAGTCATTATTGCAAGTGTAACAAATGATTTCACCTACAAGTGTATTTATCAGTCTTATGTTGAATATGTGATGGTACTGAAAATATTTTTTATCACTGTATCAAGGCCTAAAAACGGTTAGTCTATCATTAAAAATTGTACTTTCTAGTCAAAAGTATTCTAAAAAGTTGATCTGTTCATGTTACAATTAAAAGAACGAGTATGATTACGGTTTGTGCAACGAATACTCTTGAAATCGGGCATAAATAAATTCTTATCACCTGATCGACCTGGTAAAGTGTATGTATTTATTGAAAATTCCTATATACTCGTATACGATGTATATATAATTATTTTTAAAAATGAAAATTCATGTATAAAAAAAATAAAATATAAAAAGAATTGATTGGACACAGTAAGATCCTAATGGAGTCTTAAAAAACTATCTAGATAATAATATAGATATTTTTATATATAATAAATATATAGATAAATGCATTGTAGGAATCTGCGGTTATGTCCTGGCAGTCTATGTGGTTGTGAACCTTAAGAATTATACATTCCAAGGTGTTAACCATTGTGTTAATAATATCTGAGACTTTCCTCATGTAAAAAATAATATATTTTAAATATGAAAATTATATGAAAATATTCGGTAATGTATAAAAAAATATTATTACTATTATTGATATAGTCGTTGAGTATTTTTATTTATGTAGAAAAATATTTTTAAAAGTATTTAAAACAGTGATCTCTGTTGATTAAACTAAAATAAATTGTTATTTATGTAAAAATAAAAAATTGTTATTCACTCTTTATACTTTTCAGGTTTTTAAATATTTTCTATAACTCATTATTTGAAATATATTATTGTTATAATGAGGATTTTAAGTTAAATCATATTTATAAATTATTTTGATGTGACTAAGAATATTTATGGGAAGAAATATTACATGGCGATGTGAAATGAATCAATGGAAAGACGGAATGGACTGTATTATTATGTGAGCATGAAAACCTGCTTCAATCACGATAGTTTTGATCACTTTGTAAACCAGGTCGATTATTTTTTACTTGACTTGAGTTTAGCTTTACTCGAAACTTGTTTGATCTTCTTAAACAGCCCGAATAAGCTACACGTGCACGGTCTATCCGTTAAAATATGGAACCAGTGTGACCAGAATGGTTGCTATGGAAGAGCTCCGGACGGTCTTGGTCTCACTTGAAGCTGCCCTTTGTCATATACTAGTATTAAATATTTTCTCAACTTTTTTCTCCTTTTTAAAAATCGGCCTCAAAAGTTCTTAGAACTCCTTTAAGGCCGTGAGTATTTTTAAATCTTATCCTTACTGTATCACGTCAATTTCAATAAAATATTTATCTCGATTATATCGAATACTTTCTGATTCAAATAATTAGTATTATATTCTCTTTATATCACTTTAAGAAGAAAAAAAGTTGAGAAATAATATAATTTTATTTCAGTGCTGATCAGCATCTGAGTTATCTAATTCTTTTAAAGCTTATTTAGTACGTTTCGAAAAGAATAATTAATAAGGTAGCTTCAAGATGAAAGCTAGACTCGTTTAGTCTCTTATTTGTAAACGGTACATCTCGCGAAATAATTAAAATTAACGGAAATAAGACTCGAATGTTTTGTTGTATATTGTTTAATATCTATAAAAAAATCGAGACGACCTGCTAATCAGCGTCGTACACCAGCGACGTTTTACCTCTCGCACTCTTGGACCTCATCATTTTCTCTTACGATCGACGATCGAAATATTTAACTATAATTATTAATTAAAAAAACTAACTTGACGTCTTTTGTTTTAGCCATGCTCTCATCCTCCTTATTTTGTTTGATGCTAAATATCGCAGGCTCATTTTTTCATATTTTAATATCGATCTTGAAGGACGAGTCAGCAAGCTTATCAATTGCGTATTTTCTTTCTCGCTTTAATACGATTTGTTTCTCTCGATATTTTAATTATCTTGTATGTGTTTGTTTTTAAACCTATCACTTCCCTTTATTTTTGCTCCTTCTCCTCTTCTTTTCTTGTTTTGATTCCACAATGATGACGACTCGGAGTGTTGCGAGGAACCGGAAGACCAGCCACCGGCTTTGTCCTCCGGCTTATGCTCTAGACAAGCTCCTGTTTGAAGATCTTCTCTTTGTGCATTCGCTCCATATGACGGGCAATATGCATCTTCTGCTTTGCACGATAGACACAATGCGGACATTGGAACTGTGGCTCCTTGCCACACTCCCACTTTTGATGGTTACGTAAGCTGCTCTTCAATTTATAGACACGTCCACAAGCTGGACAATTGAATCCCTCTGGATTCCCGGTTGTACTTCCACTGAAACCTTTGCCAAGACCTCCACCTGATCGCCACATAATTGATGGAACACTCCAACGTTGCCAGGCTGCTGCCCACTTGAGTCCTGTGATGCTTAGGTCCTCAGCTGGAACACAGGGTTCAAGAATTAATTATTTATTCTACTGTAATTATTTATAAGGGATTTTTTATACTTGTTATTGGAAATCCTTGGTTCTATTTTGTTGATAATGAATCAAAAAAGTATTTAAGTATGAAATGAAAATGTGTTACTTTCGTCTTTACAATATTATGTGATTACAAAAATAAACATTTTCTTCGTTTTGATTGTTAGATTTTACTTTTGTTTTGAAATAATGTAAATGAATTGAAGATGAAACCATTTTCTGTCGTGAAATTTTTTTGAAAATTTGTCAGAAAAAATTTAAGAAAATAACTTTTTTTGATCATTATAATTTAATAACTGTTCTTGAAACGTTTATTTGAAGATTCCTGAAAAATTTCGACTTTCGAGACATGATAAAACTTTCAATGAGTTTAGTAAGTATAATGGATATCAAAAAATGGTCAATCTCGAAAGTCGAAAGTAAAAAAAATTTATTGATAGAAGATTGATGCATCAATGAATCCTTACTCTTGAGCCCCAAGCATCTAGCTATCAGTTTTCTGATTTAAAAAGAGCGAATATCACGTACTTATGAAAGGAACAGAGCTCATGTGACTTATTAGATTTTTCTATATAATATTACATTTAAGTTTATCATTATCGTTGACTGTCTTAATATCTGTTCCTTTCGCTAAAAAAAGCGATGAGAATAATTTTTTCATTGGGAATCTATATACAAGATTTTTTTTTTGAAAAGTTAGTGCGCATGCCAATCCTTCAGTGATGATAGAAAGGAAGGAAAATGATCAAGAATAGTCTTAATCTTAATTATAAATAAACGAATAAACAATGCATTGAGAATTTTGTTCAGAGTGAGCGATAGCAATACATTTTTCTAATAAATAAGTTAATAAATAATATATAAGATACTCGTTTGTATTTAAGGGATGCCAGAAACAGTGGCAAGAAATAAGTTAAAATAGAACAAAGATTTGGATCGAATTTCCGAAAAAGAGACAAATATTTTTGTTTCAAATAGAATATTCGAATTTGATAATTGAGAATAATTCTCAATATGATAAATGATCATATTTTTCAACTTAAAATTAGTCTATATGGTTAAAATTTGGGAATGGTACTGATTTTATTGTTGACTTTTAAATTTATGTTTATAATGTGTAAACCTAATTTCAATCCAATTCATAAAATTTTGGAATATGGAATGAAGTCGATAAATTTTGTTATTCTCTAGACTCTTTACAAGTATCATGTGATTGTAATTTCCTTCTTTTTGATGTCAAGTCTTTTTGAAGTACGTCCAGATATTTTTTTCTCTTTTCCAAGTTGTTTGAAGTTAATTCTTCGTTTTCGTGATCTTGTTATGCATACTTGGCCTTTGAATCCACACCCGTTGACCTAAAAATAAAAAATAGCTTTAGATGGGTTCTAAAATAAATATATTTGAACACAATTTATTGCTGATTCTTCGTTGAATCATTGATCTGTATAAAATTCATACCAGTATTTTTAAATCAACCTGATTATTGAATTCTTGATGTAAAAACTCTCTAATTGAATAAATAAAAATAAATTAAATCATATTTATCACAGGACTTGTATATTAAATAAATAGTAAATAAAAATATCTCAGTGATCACTCGTTTAATTATATAAAAATATATAAAAGAAACTAATTATGGTTAATTTTGAATCAAACACATAAATATTAATTAAAAATTATCCCATAAAAATATGTAAAATCTATAAACGTAGAAAAATTAAATAAAATTGAAAACTTTAAGCTCAATCGTAGAAAAATAATTTAGAATTAAAAAAATTCTATGAAAAGCACGCATTAATTATTATCAATAATCGGCGTATAAGCAAGCAAATAATTTTCCATGTTTCCAATTTTTTCATAATGCTGTCGCCTGATGTGTCGAAGCCAATGAGGTTTCCTCTTGCATCTCTGAGGACAGAATGGACATTGAAATAATGGCTCCTTGCCACATTCCCATCGTAAATGGCGCATTAATGAATCCTTCCTCTTATAGCTTCTATCACATTGGGTACAAATAAATGGACGACTGCCACTTTTGCATGCCATGTTGGCATTAGGTATCTTGAGTTGTGCTCCTGAACTTAAAGTGTTGGCATGTTGACTGAGAAAATTGAACCTCTGGAATTTGTTAAAATCTGTAAGCAAAGACCTTAATTTTAAATAGATTCTCCAATTATTTTCGATTAATCTTGAATCCAACACCACCACCAACGATCCAATTAATCAGTTGACTCTCTAAATCATCGTGCAAAAAATACAAAACTCATCATCAAACAAAAATCAATATTAAATTATCATCATCATCATTATCAAAATCACAAGTCAAGTAGGAAGATTTATAGATCACAATGATCCATGACATGCGTAAATTTTTTCTTTATGAAAAAATTAATTAGTCAAATTAGCGCTGAGATCATCACTATTTTGGAATTGTTTTAAAATATTATTAAAATTAATTAATCATTTATACACTTTTGTACTTATTTATGATAAAACTATGGATTATAATCGTGGATATCCTTGACAGTTAAACAAATTTCTGTAAATAAAAAATTAAAAGTTAATTACTTATTTTTTCTATGTGAATTAGTTTAAAACATCCTGATAATATTTTATTGAAGAATATTTTGACTGTTAAAAAATATTTTAATCTATTCTATTCAACAATTTTCTTTATTGTACAAAATGAACATTATATATTTTTTTCACTTTATATATCAGTAATTTTAAAGTAGTCAAAAAAATATTTATGTTCTTTAAATAATTTTTAAACATCTTAATCTAAAGCTGAAACTACAACAGACATAAAAAACATTAAAATTAATTATCTGTTGATAAAAAAATCTTATAAAAAATCGATGAAAATAGTTTTTTGTTCACACAATAATGTGAAAACTTGTAAGATCTCACTAAGGAAGAACGATTGCAGTTTTTGGAATATTTTTTTCATCGGATCATGATGAAATTATGGACTGAGATTGATGCTTATTTACATGTTTTGCAAGTTTATCACGACGATAAAATTTTTTTTGACATAAGGGGCAAGTATGTTTTGGTTCTTCAACATGAAGTTTAATGTGAGCTGTTAAATTATGCTTATAAGTAAATTTTCCATTACAGAAACGGCACTGATATTTTGGAGCTTTGCCACACTCCATTCGAAGGTGTCGTCTTAAACATGAAGATCTCATATAGAAACGATTACAGTTTGGACACTTGAAGGAAGTTTGACCTCTGGCTGTTCTAACTGGTTGAAATGATGATGATGATGACATTGATAAATGAATATTTTCAGATATTCTAGATCTTCTCCATCCAGCTCTAGCACTCACAGTATCCATTTCATTTAGAATTCGTCGAGGTCCATGCCATACACCTGAAAAATACATAATATTATGAAATAACTGTTCAAATAAATTACTTCAAATTGCTGAAATTTATATTCAAACACATGATTAAAGATGAAATTATTTCATTAATTAATGCAATATCAAGAAAATTCTAAGATTAAAAACAATTTATTATTTAAAAGCACTCTTTTAAATTACTTAAATTATCATTACAAAAATAAAATTATTTTTGTTTCGTTTATGTTTGATAACAAATAATTCACTATCTATATTCATAATAAATGTAATAAAATATTATTGACTATAATCCATTTGAATTGTTCTCAAGTTGAGAACATCAGGTAAAATTAGGAGGAGGAAAAGGATCACTTTTATTCTCATTTTTGAATGGATGAAGTTGTAAGTGAATACGATAATGTCTGAGTAGACTGTGTTTATGCTTGAATTTAGAATGACACATAATGCACTCAAACTTTGCTTCTTTTCCACACTCCAGCCTCTTATGCCGTTGAAGAGAAATAAGTCTCCGGTAGTTTCTTCCACAGGCATCACATGGAAATATTTCGTTTATTCCCAATTGTTGCTGCCAAGGAACTGAAAAAAAAATACATTCATTAGTTAGATGAGTTCTAAGTAATGATAAAAATAAATAGGATACTTGGGAAGGTTGAATAAGATATTAATAAATAAATTAACAAATATTTTTTTTAGAAAATAACCCGCAACAAAGTGTCTTTCTTTTATTAATAATTAAAAATTATTAATAATAATATAATTATTATGGTAATATTAATATGAAAAAACGTCAATAATATTCTAAAATTGGTATTATAAACCTTTCCAAAAAAACATTAAATATTGAGGAATGATTAATTGATAAACATTACCGATTTATTCCTCACTACTTCATACAAAAATATCAGAGAGTCAAAAGTTTAAAGTAAATTAAAAGCGAATTACTGTAAATTCACTTACAATAATATATAATAATAATAATAATAATAATAGTAATTAAGTATATAATAGGTACCAAGTTCCAAATTACAAAGTTAATAATTATTATAATAATAATAATAATAATAATAAACATAATAGTAATTATAATCATAAAGAGAATTATATGAATGATATAATAATAATAATAATAATAATAATGATGTAAATAAAAATAATTCGGAATAATTAAATCGAACGTAAGTCTAGTTCGCGGAGCATTCCTTATTTAAATAATATTTTCAACATTACAAAAGTTATTTTTTTCATTTTCATAATTACAGAATTAAAGGTAACGCTTTAAGACAACGAAGAAGGAGGAAAAATTAAATAATGAAGTATTTCTATAAACTATATGTGTACATATATTATAAATATGAACAGAGAAGAGCGATAATTCCCATACGATGCTTCGCAGGCACAAAAGTCAATGGCGACTATTCGCTAAATACTGATATAAAAAATACTGACGTCTATTTATCTATTTTTTTTTATTTTTTTTTTTGTAAATTTTTTATTGTTTTTTATTTATATATAAAGACGTCTTATTTTCTGGAATCATTGTCTCTATCTGTTGTTTATTGTACGAATTGTGCAAAAATCCCCTGTCCACTCTAAAGTAAAAACTACAAAATCTTTAAGTATTTATATAAAATCATGGTTAAGTATTAACTCATGATTAAGTTTTTATTGATAAAAATAAAAAATGCTCATTCTCTATTTTTTTAATTTTTTTAAATACATTTTTGTTTGTCTAAAAAATTCTTTATCACGGCTATAATGATCTATTGATCATTATTTTATTTTAGCTCGATTAATTATCATTTTATTAAAAATTCTATAGTTAATTAAGGATTCATTCGTTGACATATTACATTTGGGAATGTTTTAACTAAAAATCAGTTTCGACTTTATATAAACAATACTGGAGTGAAACGGTAATTGAACCCAACTATGGAAGCAGACGTTGTATAAAGTTATTTCGTATTCACAATTCCTTAAATATCTTTTATCAAATAAAATTAGTTTTTAATTGGGTTCAGAATTTATGTATTACATAAAATATTTAGAAACGTTTATGCTTCCTTGTAAAAATTAATTTCAAAAAATAGAGCACCTAATATTTTCTTTTATATTCTAATTTCGCGGAATATATTTATATATAAAATTAATTAATTAATTAATGAAAAATAATTTCGTGCAACTCAATTTAAGAATTACATATAATTTCGAATAACGGTAACAAACCCGTGTAATAAAAATTATAAAAAATTTTTAGCCCTAAACATGTGCTTCTACTGTTCCTACCATATTTTTTTAAAAATAAATTTAATGCTTAAAAAAATTAGAAATACTAAATTGTTATGAAAATAAATGTTTTTTCTCTGGCTGGAGTATTTTCATGACTGCAAATAATAAAAATCTGAGCATTTTTTCGTTAAATAAACATAAAAAAATAGAAAGAAAAAGCAAAATGAGGTAGGTAAGTTAAGTGAACTGATTAAGAGTACTGTGGTAGCACTTCTAATACCGTCTCGAGTTGTCACGATGGATATTAGAGCCAGAGTAACATTTACTTACTGCATGGACGGTTTAACTGAAGCAAAATTTTCTCTTTACCAAGTAACCACTTAGAATATAATTCAGTTAAAATATTTGACATATTTTTCTTACTTTTTTTTCACATGATAGTACCAGTAAAAGCACTCGTTTTTATTTTTAATCTCGAGAACCTTGAGAGCCTTCATCGTAACCCACTTTCTGATGATGTCTCTTGTAGTGTACCGTCAAATTTCCTCGCTGACGTGCTTTGTAAGGACATTCAGGACATTGAAAAGCTGGTGGTTTGCCACCACATTCAACCATTTCATGACGACGCATTGTACTCTTCCATCTATATCCTTTACCACAAAAACGACAACGGAATTTGCGTAGCTGTTCATGAGGTACTCCAACGTATGTAAGGTCACGAGGTTGTGGTAAAACTTCAAAGGAATCAGGAAAGATGACTTCTCGAGTTGATCGTTCACGCTCACGCATTAGTGTTGAATCGCTGAAATTTCCATCTGTCGATCGAGTACTTCGAGTTTCACTCCCTGGGGAACGGTTTTTTTTCGGATGTTTCCTGCTTCCACTGTAGTCCGAACGTAAGAGGGATAGAAGTGCTCCCATTCCTGTAACAACAGCCACCGCAAGAAAGCGAAAGGCGCAAATTAAACAAAAAAGAAAAAAAAATTAATAAAAGAAATTCTTTGAAAAAAAATAATACATAAAATAATAAATAATAACAAATAAATAGGGAGGCATTGGGAATAATAAATTATAAACTTAAATAATGATAAATGTAAACACTGAAAAAATAAAGTTATTTAGTCAGTGCACATTTGGGTCGTTGGTAAGGCTGATGATAATGCGGTTGATGATAGTTATTTTTGCAAGTAGAATAGTAGATTAAAATTATTTTTTCATATAAAAAACCCATAACCAACCCAACACAAATGAATCAGCCAATAGCCCTGGAAAAAATGTGTAATTCTTATGTGCCCAAGTATCAATTTTGCCAATTTGTGAGAAAGTTGTTGTTGAAAGATAGAGAAATAAGGAATGAAAACAGTCAAGTTAATTGAAACAGATAATTTAAACTATTTATATATCTATAGATAAAAGAAATATATTACAAAATATTCTATATTTATATTTATATCTATATATAGATATATTTATTCTATATATCTGTTTCTTAAATTCTTTTTTTTTTTGTTTTACTTTTTAGCTTCAACTTATATTTGTTCAGCCCTCAAAAATAATGAAAACAAAACAATTATATTATTTTACAAGTCTCATCGATTATTTCGACCAGTTGAAATGAAATCTGTAAATATTTTCAATGACCGAATTACATGATTTTAATCTTAAACTCACATGTAATATAATGACGACTAGGAATCAATAAGGAATCCAGTCACTCAATTTTCAATATATTTCAATTAATAACTAACGTCATATGTCTATATAAATTCATAAAAAGGATTTATATACATATTAAACACGATGAATGAGCATGTGTTTGTGTAGGCTGCTCTTTTGCATTCGTTTTTGACAAATAGGACACATAAATGGTCGATATTTGCCGCACTCATATTGTTGATGACGAGTTAAAGAACTTTTATTCAAGTAGCTTCTGTTGCAAGTATCACATGGGTAAGGTTTTTTCGTTACCATAACTCTAAAACTCTGCGAACCAAGACCTGAAACAAAATACACAAAATTTTTTAGTAACTGCTCTAATTATCCAAACATTCGAAATCTATAATAAATTAAATATTAATTAAACTAAATCATTTAGCAGGTATCAATGTAGATCCTATCTTCATGTCATCAATAACATGCTCCATTCAATTTTTAATTTTATCTCTTATTATTGATTCACACTCAAAATACAAGTATTAATCATGTTGATTTCTTAAAATTTATAGAATCTGTTAAAAAATTTTTCTTTAATACACACTCACATTCACAATACTTATAAATATACATTAATTCATTTTCCAAGCAGTAGATTATTCTAACTGATAATAATTATTTTTGAACAAGATTTTTCGCATTATTTCACAATTGTATAAAATACACACGTTAATTATATTTCAAGCAATTTATAGATAATTATTATAATTATTCAAACATGTAAAAAAAAAAATTATAAAAAATGTTTTAATTGAATACTTATGATTGATAAGTGTTGATGTATGTAGATGTGTCGATTTAATCGATATTGCTGCCATTGATCACATTTTAAGAGAGCGAAAATATCATAAGTTTTGAACAAAAAACTTGCAATTAGTTGATGTGTGTAATAATATAAACAATACATTTTAAAAATTATAAAAATCTTATTATTTATGCTTGGTGAAAATGTGGGTGTTTAGATTGAACTTCCTTTTTGAACTAAACCGGCAAAAAGGGCAATGAAATTGCGGCGGCTTTCCGCATTCCAGTCTTACATGTCGTCGCAATGATGAAGAACTTGAATAAATTTTGTCACATTTCTCACAAACATAGCCAGGATTAATATCTGGCTCACCATACGATCTCCAAGCTGTTCTTCTTCTCCTCCGTCCTGTAAAAAGTAATAAATAACAAGTCAGTAAAATATTAATACTATTTAAATAAGTATAATTATAAAAATAAAAAAAAAGAAACAGCTTTACACTAGAATCAGTAGCGAATTTCCTATAGGTACATTAGCTTAAATAATAGTTTAATTTTGAGGATCCTTAGTGAATGAATTGAAATCCATCTCTATACTTAGTAATCAGAATAAATAATTTTATTCATGTACAAAAATACTATCGTTTGATAACGACGATTCTTTGTCACCAAATTAAAAAAAAATTGTCTATTAATTTATTTAATTTTAAGATTGTAGACGTTATGATGAATTTTTGTTTCGAAGCAGTTTGTATTGAATTTGCTTGATGAATTCTTCCTTTCCTGAACTCACAAGTGTTGGCCAGCATTCGGAATTTTCTCTAATATGCCTATGCAGAGATTTCTTCCATTTATATGCTTTAGAACACGCCAAACATCTATTGATACCTCCTGGAAAAAATTAAAAAATCAATCGTCCATTAGTACTATATACTAGGTCAATTATCCTGTAATTAAATCAAAAAATAAGAAAAATCTTTATCAATATGAATGAATTAACTAATGTAAGGTTGGTGTACATGCAAAGTTGAAAATACATATAGTAATGTTTGCAATTTTATAAAATTTATTCAACGATGGTAATCAAATAAAATGATTGCGAATGTGTTTCAATAAATTGCAACGAAGTTTCGCTCGTTTTGGACAATGAAGACATTGATATCGTGGTGGTTGACCACATTCTTCTTTAATATGTCTCATTAAAGACGTTTGCCATGAATAACATCTTCCACAACGTGGACATTGATATAACTTTTTCGGATGACCAATTGGACGATCTCGATTTTCATCTGGAAGAGATTTATTGAAAATTGTTAATATGATAATACAAATAATCAACTCAAAACGATTAAATATTACAAAACTAAAAAACAATGACAATTTTATCTTAAGAAATAATATGTTAAGATAAAAATTAGATGAAAAATGATATAGAGAATTTGATTGATCTTAATTAATCTTCATTTTCTGAAAAAATTTATAACAAAATTATACAAACAACATACAATCAATAAAATTATACGAATTATAAGTAGTACTTTTTAGAAAATTTCTGAAATATTCATATAGACTAGATTTTTATTTTATTTAACGTGAATATCTTCTTCTAAATGTTTGTTTGATTTTAGTTCTGCAATCTTGTCCATGTTTTTTCATCAAATGAGTAATCAAATTATGTCGTAATTTAAACACACGTGAACAGTAAACACAAGGAAATGGTTTTTTTCCACATTCTTCACGAATATGTCGTTGAAGTGATTTTTTCCATGTAAATATTTTCGTACATCCACCACAATGATAGTGATGAGCTGAAACAAAATTAATTTCAAAAGTTAGTAAGCTGTTTGAATAAATATTTCTCTCACACGTTAATTACACACCAAATGAGTTTATCTATCACATAACACAGATTCAACTTGTTTTCATGTTGTTGATAAAAGTATGTTAGCTTAAAAGATAATATGATACTTTGAATTCTCATTAAATAATTTCTTTGACACTTTATTTATGCACTTACGAAAATACATAAATTTATAAATGCTAGGTAAAGCAACAAATCTATGAATATTCAATATACGATTAAATCCTCAAATAAAAAGGAATAGACTGTAATATAGCACTAAGATCACATGAGATCCTTCGAAGCATATTTTTTACATTGAACACAGAGTACACCGAGAAAAAAAATAATTAAAAAATTTATTATCAACCGAATAAATAAAATTTCTTCATCACTCTAAGCTGAAATTCATCAGCATTTATTTACAATAAGCAGTCTCCTATTTTATTCGTACTTATATTTTGAGAAATTATTCATCTCAATCATAAATACTTTTTAATCATAAATAAATAAATAATAATAAATTTTTAATACAATAATATAATCAAAAATAATTTTGATTTAATAATTTTTCTTCTCAGTGCAGACAAAAACGTATGAACAACAAAAAAAAATGTAACTCTTCAATAGTTAAAAGTCTTCAAAGAGTCTAAAAATAATTAAAAACAACCTGAAAATAAAAAAAAAGTCTGGCACAAAGAAAACTACTTAGTTTAAGGCATTGATTAAAACCGATGGAGCCTGGAGTATTACTACACTCTCAAGTCAGGCTTCAAGGTGTTTATGAGTTCGCTGATGGTATTTTAAAGTGTTGCTCCGCCTGATGAGCATGTAGAATGAATGCCTTGAAAGCTGCAAATGGACAGAGTGTGCACTTGAACTGTGGTGGCTCGCACTTGTGTTTCAGATAGTTGCTCCACATCTTGTAGAATTTGCTGCACTTGAGGCAAGTGTAGCCAAGCATTTGGTCTCCCACATACATCTTACGGTAAGCTGTAATCAAAGAGAACAAATCAATTCATCGATTATAAATTGTTAGTCAATTATTTTCTGAGATAAACAAAAATAGCTAGTTAGATAGTACACGCTTATGGGAGAAAATAAAAACCAATTTCATTCCTTAAAGTAAAAAAAGCAAATCTTAAAAGCAAACTTTTATTTCTAGAATAAGCTGCTTAGCTTAGTAATCCATAAGCTCACTTAATCCAATGTTCTTTTAATAAAGAAATAATTTTTTATTTATTTATTCATTATTCATTCGTTATATAATTACATGTTTTTATCATTATGTATTTTTTTAAAATAACCGTAGATGACAAACATTGCTGAATCTTGACTATAAAATCTTCAACAAATCGTCTTGAATAAGCTTGTGAACTACAAACATAATGCAAATTAACTCAAAAATCTACATATTTTTTAATAACATACTTAAATATATGGAATAATTTTACATCAAACGAAACAATGAAAATAAAAAATTAAAAGTATCAGGCTCAGAATTGTTGAATTATTTTTTTCAAATAATATTCAAAGAAGAAAATAAAATCATTAAATTTTATAGAATAACTATAAATGATTTTTCTAGAAATGATTTTTAAATAAACGTAATATTAAAAAAGACTATGTTTTGTACAACATAGCAATAGTGAAAAAATTATGTATTAGAAGTTTTATCAAATTCTGCATCAAACTTTTTAGAAGTAACTGCTTTGCAAGTTACTATATTCTTGGAGACTTTACGAAGTTTATTATGATACCGAACGTTTAAATCATGTCTTGGAGTGTTGATGTGTCTCAAGTAGTTTCCCTTATATCCAGTTCTGTAACGACACAAGTCACATGAATATTTTTTTTTAAATCTTTGACCACACTCAATAGTACGATGACGAGACAAGGAAGAAGCCCAGAGATACTTTCTTCCGCAATCCCCACAAGTATATACTCCATCCACTGAGACATACTTATGGTACCGATGGTAACGAGATTGAAATTCATCCACCTTACGATCTGACCTTTCTAGCTTTTCCACTGAAGAACTTGGACCATGTTCTTCTTCCTCTGAATCAATGTCTTTGGTAGCACTAATAGTATCAAGTTTTTTTATTTTTTTTTCCATCATCACTTGATGCTGTCGACATTTTCTTCGATGACGACTAAGAGAAGTAGTCCAAGTGTAAATTTTTCCACACATCTCACATGCATAAATTCCAGGTTTTTTCGGTGCATAATATATTTTTTTAATCTTCGTTGGTGTTTTATCATCTACATTCTCATTTGCATTTTCACTCATTTGTTCTTCTATCTCTATTAATTCTTCTTCTAAAACTTCTTCATCAACATACTCTGGTTCTCCATTTTTTTCCAGTTCATCCATCACTGTTTCTGTGAACTCTGTATCACTTAAATTCCATTTTTCTGCGTTATCTTCTTCTAATTCATCTAGGAAAGGTCCTGAAACAGATTGTAGAAAGTTGAAATATTTGTTC